TTTGACGGTCCCCGGGCCTGGCGGGGGCCTCCGGAGGCCGAACGAGGCGAAACATTTCCCTCCTGTATTTTCCACGACGCGAGCATGTCTGGGTCGGGGTCGACGTTGCGAACAAATCACGACGTCGGGGGTCTTGGCGGACACGCGCGGCAGCCCCCTGGGGTCCCGGCGCTGCAGTTCTTGTCTCGCCAGGCGCTTGCGCCCGGTCTCTCGGGAGCCAGGACCAGCACAGATCGACGCGGCCCGAGGCATGGTGCAGAGGGGTCCTCAAACGGTTGTCTTCCAGCGAGGCAGTTCCTCCAGTGGGAATGAACCGATGCAAGGGCCTATGAAGAGGGAGCTTGGAGGGAGGGTCTATTCCAACATCGTCGATGACTCTTGGGTTTACACCCCCCTCCTCCTCCTCCTCCTGCTCGATCCTCCTCCTCCTCCTCCTCCTCCTCCTCGATCCTCCTCCTCCAGGCGCGTCCCGCCTCTTTCTCCCTCTCTCTTTCTGCTCAGCCTGCTGTCCCAGACATGCGACGCCCTGATTTTTTCATACGGGCCCCCTGGAAGTTCCGACGCTTTCCCCGGGACTGGTTCTTCATGCCTTGTCGTTTTTTGACGGTCCTAGGACCCAGCGAGGGCCCCCCGAGGCCGAAAACGGCCAGAAACCTCCCATCCTGAGTTTTTTACGACGCGATCATGTCTGGGTAAGGTCCAGGGCTGCGGTCGTGAGTTTCGCGATGTTGCCATTTTTCCGTGGCGTCGGATCTCAGGGAGGGGGGGGCGGCCTTCCACGAAGCCTGGGGGGCTTCTCAGGAGGCATGGGGGCTCCTCAGAGTGCCACCCCGGCGTCCCGGGAGCCTTCCCAGAAGCCTCCAAGCCCCTCTCAGAAGGCCAAGCACGAGGGGACGTCTTGCAGAGATCACACATAAGCGCTGCAAACAAACGGGGTCGTCTGCGCCGCCATTGGCGCAAGCTGCCCGCGGCAGGTCGCGCGTAAGCGCCCTCGTCTCCACTGTGGCGTGCCGCGCTGGCGGCCCGCGTAAGCTGCGGCGTAAGGCCGCTGTGCCATCTCGCGTAATACACGTTTTTTGATCGTCGCTCACATTGGGGGTTCCAAAAATGGCTTTGCCTTTGAGGATCGAAGGAGTTGTCATCTCTTTCGCCGCGGAAGGCCGCGGAAGGGCGGCGGAAGGGCGGCGGAAATAAAACGAGGCCGCCAGGGCGGCGGACGGCGGCGGAAATGAAACATGCGCTCCCGAGAGATGAAACCGTTTTTTGGGCTCAGGGTTTCCGGAACCGGCCACACGTGTAGGGGGCCACATGCGAACCCTACCCCTACCCCCCCACGATTTCTGAGGGGGAGGGTGGGGTTCACTTCGCTCGGGAGCTCCAGGAGCGAAGTGAACCCCACCCTCCCCCTCAGAAATCGTGGGGTGGTAGGGGGAGGGTTCGCATGTGGCCCCCTAACGTTTGCCAGCGCTGGACCTCAGGGGCCCTTTGGAGGGTGGGGCTCCCGCCTCGGTCGGTGGCCGGGGCCGGGCTCGGCTGCCGCAGGGCCGCGGCAGGCGCCGCGGGTCGGCCTTCCGCAGGCCCCCGCGCTGCGGCCCAGCAGCCCGGCCGAAAGCACGCGTCGGAGGGGCCCTTCGCCGGAGTGGCCTGCGGTGCTCAGACGACGCGAAGATCGGGACAAAATCGCATCGGGATAACTCGAAATCTCTGAGAATCGGCGGGTTTGGAGAAGGTATTGGGCGCCGCGGCCGCTCCAGAGCGTTCCGGAACGCTCTGAGAGCGCTCCAGAACGCTCTGGAGCGATTTATCCCGATCCTAGCCCTGTTATAGGTGCGGGCCGACAGGGGCGGCGCCGCCAAAGGCCGCGCACCCGAGTCGAGGAGCAAAACACGCGGCAGGCCTAAACTTTGAGGCGCTCCGTGCGGATTTCTCGGATCCGCGCTGGGCCCCCCGCCTGGCGGCGAACTCCGGCGCCGCACACGGCGCGCTCCGAGCGCCAGGGAGTGGTGTCCAGCGCAGATCCACGAAGTCCGCGCGGAGTGCCAAGTCTTTATGTTTATGCCGTTTTCTCTTCTTCTACCAGAAGCCGCGCACCAAATGTCCCCCTTGCCCAGGGCCACTCCTGCGCGTGGCCTCAGAGAGTCCAGGGTTCGCGGTTGGCTATGGGGGCTGGTGTTTCCCTCCCAACAGGACCGAAGCCTTTTGAGCACCCGACGGGAACCTTATCCGAAGGAACCTGTGAGGCTTTCCGGATGGTTTCCGAAGGGTTTCAAAACGGTTAGGTTGTTTTTGGGGAAGTCCGTCCTTTGCAAACCCTGAGCTCTCTAAGTGTAGCCGACCGATGGCCAGCCGTAGCGGTCCAAAGATGCCCCCCCGTCGCGGGAGGTGCTTCGTGGCGTTTCCCAGCCGCTGCGGCCTGCGCCGCGGTTGCTGCGCTGCTGTGCAGGGCGTGCGCCAGCTCCGCGACTTGCTGGCGCGATGCGTGGCTGCGGTCTGTGGGTGAGAAGTTGCACGTGCGATGGGCTTGTGTGCATGTCGGCACATCGCGTGCGATTTGGTGGCGGCTCTGTGATGCGTTGCGTAGCAGTGCATAGAAGCGTGGCAGGTGATCCCCCCAGCGCCCGATTTGAAGTAGCGCGACAGGGATGGGGGAGCTAATTCTAGGTGGCCGCACAGGGCTGCCGCTCGCACCCGCAGTCTGTAGAAAGCCTCCTCGTCTTGTCCTTGCGTCCACGCCCCCCCCTCGCCACGTCGTCTCTCCCAGGGGTTTATCTCTCTGCTGTGCGGGCTGACGAGAATGTTCCTGCCATTTCGGGCTTCCCATTTGTCTTACTGACGAGTATTCCCTGTGCGTGGCGGGGGTCGTGTCGGGCGACGTTGCACGGTGGTTCTCGTCCGTTTAGGGTTGCCTGTTTCTTGTTGTCCGTTCCCTATGCCGCCTTGCGTCAGGCCCCTTGCGCACATATTAGCGTATTTCTTTGTGCAGCCTTTGATAAGTTTTTGTCTTAACGCTGGACACTAGGCCAACTCCGGCTTGCAGCGGGTCACCTGTTACCGAGGGCGAGAAGATTTGGGTTTGCACCACAGAGTTTGCACCACGTAGCTTCCAACCACTTTTTGCACCACATAGCGTGCACCGTACAACTTGCGACGATGTGGGTTTGGACCACATAATTTCCACCACATAATTTGGAGCACGTAGCTTGCACTGTGAAGCTTGCAGCGATGTGTTTGCACTACTTAGCTTGCATTACATAGCTTCCACAACATGCCTTGCACTACACAGCTTGCACCACGTAGCTTGCGGAGATGTGGGTTTGCATCACGTTGCTATTACAGCATAACTAGCGGCACGTACCTTGCACCACATAGTTCACATTGTATAGCTTGCGAATATGTGGGCTTGCGCTGCATAGCTTACTCAGCATAAATTGCGCCACGTAGCTTGTATCGCGGGACGCATGCTGACATCGTAAGGCGTATCGCGTGAAACCACGCCGAAGCCAAGACAAGCCAAGCAAATTGCGAGCACGTCTAAGGAGAATCAGCACCGGAACAAAACCAAAGCAGGCAAATGGTGAGGACGTACCAATCGGCAGATAAAAAAGATGTCTCAGGCGGGGTGCCCGGCCAAACCAGACCAAACCAAGCCAAACCAGACCAAACCAGTGGTCAAACTAGGCAAATTTTGAGGATGCCTTGGGCAAACCAGTTTCAGTCCACTGACCCTGACATCATCAAACTAAAGGAGTGGATGATCCAAGGGGGTGCTCCGTAGGGTGTTTTTTGAAATTCGAATTGTATGGGGGGCGGGGGAGGGGGGCCCTCTACAAGTGATCGATTTTGATTGTCCCTGCGATCGAATAAATTTTTCTGGCCCTTGCGCGGCCCCACAACTTTTGCGGCCTCCCCGCGGTTCTTGGCCAGGGCGCAACAGCATGCATTTGATTCCCGATTGGTCTCCGGGCACTTGATTTTGAATTTCATCGGGGGGTTGGGTCGCAACAGTATGTGTGTGTGGCTCGGGCGCAAAATCAGGCATGCCGTTGACTAGGGCTTCGGTGTCGCGTTAAGCGGTAGAATATTCAATACTCAAGATGCTGTAGCTTCGACCCAGGAGGAAGGCAAACACATTGAAGTCTAATTTTGCTATGATCTTATTGGGTGTTGCGCCTGCCCGTATGCAAACGGCTTCCTGTGGCTCGATATAGCTTGCGAAGAGCCTCGAGACGGTCCAAGAGGGCGGTCCAAGGGAGATTGTCGTGGAATGTCTGGCACGGCGCGCATCACGTCAAGAGGGTGCTCTCGAAGTCTTTCTTGGCTGTCGCGGCACTGTGTGTCGCCGAGGAGTCGGCGCTCCGAGACATCTGAACAACGACGGTTCCAGCGCGGGCCCCAAGCAACGAGTTAGTGCGACTTGTGCAGCGCAGCGGAGATTGGCGGCGAGCGAGTGGGGGAAGTGAGAAGGAGAAGGCCTTCTCAGAAGGCGCGGAAGTCCCCCTGCCTTCCGAGAAATTTTCCAAGCCTTCCCCGAAGACACAGACAGAGTTCTCAGAAGGCGCGAGGGCTTCTGAGAAGTGCCGCAGTCTTCTGAGAAGGCCTTCTCCTTCTCACTTCCCCCCCTCGCTCGCCGCCGAGGAGAGCAACGCAAAGCAATGCAGACCAATGACGGCCTCGAAACCCTACGCCATCCATGGTGCAGCATTTGGCACAACTCATGGGCGGAACCCGTGGCGCATCCTACAGTGGAGACCCATGCCAAGAAACACCCTGCCCTGCTTGCCTCCAGGGTGCCCTTGGTTTCTTGGGTTTCGATGGTTTTGCTATGGAGAGCGTGACGTTCCCGCACCAAAATCAATTGATGTCCTGGGGTCTCAGGGTTGGGCTTCTTGTGTAAGGTTTTTTGTGGTCGGCCCCCTACTGTACGGTAAGTTCGCGTCGTGTCAACCAGCGGCGACCTTGCCGGCGGCGTTCAACGTTGAACGCCGCTGGCCACCCAGAATCCCAGATCGGTCGATGTTGAACGATCTGACCTTTCGGAAGCGGCCGAGTTGAACGATCTCCGTAGTGTTAGGAACCAACGCAGGGGTCGACATGGCACGAACCCACGGTACAACCCCACTCCCCCAACGTGGGCTACCCACCTAATGTGACTGGAACCTCGGTGACACCGAGCCCAGCCCACGCGAAGTAGGCGTGACACCTGCATTCTGGCGACACGCTTATCTCCGTATGGTGCTCCAAACTGCGCGCGGGCCACGTCTCTGACCGAAAATGTTGCTGCCGCCCAGGCGCCACCGACATTATTTTCATCGAGCATGCCGTTCTCGATGCGGCGCTGGCCACACCTCCGATTGAAAATGTGCCACCCGTGGCTCAACCCATGGCTCCGTCCCGAGACCCCCGACGTCGAGATTTTTTCTCAACGTCGACCCCCAGAGGTCTGGACCCCTTCCCCGTGACCGGTTTTTCATCCTGAGTCGTTTTTTGACGGTCCCGAGGCCCCGAGAGGGCCCCCGGAGGCCCAAAGTAGCGAAAAACTTCCCGCCGTGATTTCTTCACAACGCGAGGGGGTCTGGGTGGGGAGGAGGAGGAGGAGGAGGAGGAGGAGGAGGAGGAGGAGGAGGAGGAGGAGGAGGAGGAGGAGGAGGAGGAGGAGGAGGAAAATGGAATGGCGAGAGCAGCGAAGAACCTTCCGCCGTGGCTTCGTCACGGCCCGAGGAGGTCTGGGACGCGTGGGCGCCGCCCCGCGGGCCAGGACGCACGGGGGCGACGCGTGGCCCGCGAGCACGGCGCGCCACACACGGCGCAGGGCCAGGTGCGGGACCCCTTGGGCGCCCCCCCCCCCCCCCCCCGGGGGCCCTGGCCAGGTCCATCCTGGGCCCTGGACTGGCGTGTAGACTTATGATGTTCCAAACCTGTTTTAGCCTTGACCACCAGAAAGAAGTTCGAGCGAACCCCAAAACTCGAGGGTTTTCCCGTGTCGGGCCCTGGGAGACACTCTCTCGACACTCTTTCGACACTGTTTCGACATTCTTTCGACACTTTTCTGGGTGCTCGAAATCATTTCTGGCATGTGGTCCTTAAGTAGGATAGGAGCAACATAAGTGTAGACCTCAAGGCCTAGGGTTCCGCTGATGATTAAGACGCCTTCCCCCGAGTAGCTGGCCCAGCGTTTCTTGACCAACTTGCCGGAAAGCTGGCTCAGACTCTCAAGGGGATTGGTAGCCTTGGATCGTAGAAATGAAGTGCACGTTCCTGGCTCCAAAAGCTGGCCCAGCGTTTCCTTAAGAAACTTCTGAAAAGCTGGCCCAGCTTTCTTGATTTATATTTTTCTTAATCATATTTTTGACTGTAGGCCAGGAGGAGGGCCTGTACACAAGTCCTGGGCGTTCGGAGCTCTCCTGAGATCCGACGCAGCGAAAAAGTTGCAACATCGTAAAGAATCACGCCTGGAGCCCTAGACCCCATCTTTCGGCGTCATCTTTCGAGCCGGATCGTTCTGTGATGGTCCCAGGGCCCGAAAAAGGGCGAAAACGCCCGGCTCGAGTCAATCTGGCTCGAAAAATGATGCTGAAAGATCGGGTTCTAGGATTTCGGGCGTGATTTTTCTGCGTCGGATCTCAAGGCTCGCCGATCAAGGATTCGGGCAACTCGATGTGCGGCGCTGGGACGGTTCGGAATTCGCTGAGCACGAAGCTGAATCCGAACCGTATCCTCGCCTCCCATCGATTCAAGAGAAGCGACGGTTGGTGGGGGTAGGGTTCGGATGTCGTCACCTAACCCCATGGCCGGGACAATCCAGCGCCACCCGTGGCAAACCCATGGGGCAGGACCAGGCTGCAACGTTGGGCCACGACCTATCAAGCGCCGCCCATGGACGCAATCCACGGGTGGGACCCCATCTGCGCCACGTCATAGCCAGATCTTCCGAGCAATCGGAAGCAAGCGAGAGTCCCTCGAGGCACGCGCTGCTTGTGGGAACTTGGCAGGATCTGGCCTTTCCTGGCTTCCCCCAGCTCCCCAGGAGACTCGGCCGCTGGCCTGCAGCAGCACCCCTCAGGCCAGCTTCGGCCGGCACTCTCTGGGCTCGGGGGCGGCCTGGCCGACCCCCAGCACACCATCCCCTTCAGTATGGCGCCCCCCTCGCCTCGCCCCCAGGAGGAGGAGGAGGAGGAGGAGGAGGAGGAGGAGGAGGAGGAGGAGGAGGACGAGGAGGAGGAGGAGGAGGAGGAGGAGGCCGAGGGACGCTCGCCAGGCCAGCACGACGCCACGGAGGGGGCTGCTCTGCCGGGGGTCGGCCCAGGCCGTGCCCGAGGGGCGTGCGGGGCCCCATGGCTGCCTCCTCCGCGCGCGCCGGAGCCGCCCCCCCAAAGGAGCACCGACGAGGGGGAGGCCCCCGGGACTCCTGCCTCCCCCCCCCCCCCGCTCCCCGCTCGGCCGCCCGGCCTGCCTGCCTGTTGCCCTGCAGGGCGCGGTCGGCCTCGTCCCCAGACCCCCCCT